CCGCCCCCTGCGGGAAATCTCCTCGATGGCGAAGGAGCCGCGGCCGCGCGGGCATCGCGGGGGAGGGGGAGGGGGGGTGGCCTCGCCGTCGGAGGAGCTCGGGAGCTTCACCCTCGGCGACCTCACCAACATCACCATCTCCCCGATGTCGGACGACCCGGTGGGGAATCGGCCGCAGTCGGAGGGGGATCGACGGTCGGCGTCGCGGTCCCTGCGGCAGGGCGCGAGTCGGAACTCGTCGAGCAGCGAGGTGGCGGCTGCGAAGCCAGGCGTGGGTAAGGAGCGGCGGGATGTGGGCAAAGATGTGGTTAAGGAAGTCGTTAAGGACGTGATTAAGGATGCGGCGCCAAAGGCGGGAGATGCCGCGACGCCCCGTGTCAACGCTCCGACGCGGTCTAGCCCCCTCCATGACGAAACACGCACCGTTGTCGAGAAGCCTTCGTCGCCGACGCCCGCCCCGACCGCCCCGGCGGCGCCTTCCAAAGATGCTGAGTCCACCGCCGCGGAGTCGTCGAGGTTATCGGCGGTGGAGGAGAAACAACTCACCCCTCAAACGAAGCAGGACCGGGGGAAGTGCTGTGTTGTGATGTGAGCTCTCACGTGCGCCCAGTGGAGAGGTGATGGGAGGTGAGGGGCAAGTAAGTTGGAAGGAGGGGGGGGGGGGGGTATCCTCCAAGAAACAAATACAACCAAGCATTCGACGTTATATACAAGGAATGTGTGGCTTGACATCAAATGAAAGGTGACTCACATATGCAAAAAGAAAGCATCTTAGATTCTCACTTTTCGTTGAAAATCACTGAGTCTTGGTGTTTCTTTTTACTGCTAGTCTGCTCTCATCGTGTTGATGGTCGCTTACTGGAACATAAAGTGTGTTTGATGGCCTTGGGCACTTTAGGTTTTATACCAACTATTGAGAGAGGGATCCATTTTTCTTATGTCGATTCTTTTCTCCGCGTACACATTACATGGGCCCATCTTGCGAGTCAAATGATGGTTGGTCCCGGACATACTTTGTACGTGTATTTTTATATCTGTTTCAGGTACACTGCCCTTTTTTAGCAGCTTGTTTATTTCATCAGCCATCTGTGTCGTGATAGATTTAAATAATATTAAGCTTCACGAAACTACTAAACACTCTTTACATATGCGCATATTGACATATGAGTTAGTCTTTTCATTTATTTATCCCTGCATTTATTGCTCTAGACCTTTGTCTGCAACAGAGAACTTAAATACATTTAAGGCTCTTTCACAATATATTTTTACTGTTTACAAGGTCGTTTCTTCACGTTTTCCCTTACCCTATATAGCCACGTGAACTATTATAGCCTTAGAGGCTCTGAATCTGAGCTTGGAGAGTGCTTGTCTTCGTTGAGCACGCATTCAAACATCGTATCTACAGGAAATCGGAAATAGGGTTACTTGTTCCAGTAGACTTAGTTAATTGCTTTTCTTAGGATAAAATAAGCGTTCTTAACTCAGTAGCGAACATAGAAGTTTTTCTAGTTGACAGGCAGATAACGTTAACCTTTTAAGTACCCTTTTAGCAGCCTAGACCAAAAGTCACACACACATATATAAATATAAATATATATATATCTATTTATCTATCTATCTATCTATCTATCTATCTATATATATATATATATATACATATATTTATCCTAGCCTTATTTGATTGTATTCACTTCTTAAAGTTTAGCTGAAAAAAGCTATTGCAGCAGTTCCGACACGATCTTTGGTAGTGTTTGACAAGAAAGTATCACTGACATTAACGATAAAAGCATGGGTGGAAACAAGAAAGTTGGCCGCTATGAGCTTGGAAAGACACTTGGTGCGGGGAACTTTTCCAAGGTTAAGCATGCTATAGAATCCTCTACGGGGAAGGAGTGGGCGATCAAAATTATCGACAAGGAGCAGCTCGTTCGAGAGCGAATGGAGGAACAGTTAAAGCGCGAGATCGCCGTCATGAAGAGACTTCGGCAACCCAACATTATCGAACTCCACGAGGTGATGCAGACCTCCAACCACATCTACCTTGTGCTTGAGCTGGTCACCGGTGGGGAGCTGTTTGAAAAGATCGCAAGCGAGCGTAGGTTTGATGAGAAAACCGCGAGGAAGTACTTCCACCAGCTAATCTGTGGGATCCACTACTGCCACCAGCAGGGCATTGCGCATCGTGATCTAAAGCCGGAGAACCTCTTGCTAGACGAGCACGGCACGCTGAAGATTTCGGACTTCGGCCTCAGCAACATCCAGCGGCCCACCGTGGGGACGGGCAACACGATGCTCCAGACGGTCTGCGGGACGCCGAACTACGTCGCCCCGGAGGTGCTGAAGGAGCAGGGCTACGATGGGCTCAAGGCGGATATCTGGAGCTGTGGAGTAGTGTTGTTTGTCATGTTGGCTGGGTTCTTGCCCTTCGATGACGAGAATGTGAACGCGTTGTTTAACAAAATCGAGCGCGGCGAGTATCGCATTCCGCGTTGGTTCTCCCCCGGCGCGAAGGACTTAATCCAGAGTATTTTGACCGTAGACCCGGATAAGCGCATCACGTTGGATGGGATTATCCGGCATGAGTGGTTCCAGGTAGATTGGTCTCCAGAGCTACTTCACCAGGGCCTGGAGTACACAAGGTCGGGGAGGGATAATCATAGAACGTCCAACACTGGCTGATCACCGACGACGGTATGGACCTCGGCTAAGCAAAGTTTGACAGAAGCACGTTAAAGCTACACCAAAGAGGTTTACTGAATTTAGTAAATATGATGGTGATTGAGACTGTTTGCTACTTTACGTGACTTTTATGAAATGTACAAAGAGAAAAAAAACAAAGGCAAATACAAGACCAAGGGTGAAAATGAATATCAAGGCTATTGAGTTGTTGGTTAGTTCCACATTCTTCAGCATCTTTTTTCATTTTTTTCCGTGATGTTTTTGTGTTGCTGTGCTATAGTGTCTATATTTACATTTATACTAATATATTGATATATATATATATATATATATATATTTCGTGTGCACGAGTGTGAAAGGGAGCAAATAAGTGAGAAACTCTTTGTTTAAATCGTCAGAAAATGTAAAGGTAAAAAGAATGATGAGGGCGATGAAAGTAAGAATAAGTAAACTTAACCCAAAATAGAAAAAACACCTGAAATTGAAACGAGGGATGATGTGATTTTTGACATTCGCGTGGAGTCTAGAATGTGGAACGCTGATACCTCTATGTGGAAGGCCTGAAAGGAGAGGTTTGAGGAATTCAAATTATTCTGTATTTCATTTTCTCCATAATAGTAGGGATTATACATGGTTAATGTAAGATCATGTTGTTAGGGAAAAGAAAGAGGCAAGTTTATGGAAAACCTTTTGCTCAACGTTTTTTTCCTTTTTTCTTATTTGCTATCGGGATAAAGAGCAACCCCCTGCTCTCCTTCAATATTACATAAGAAATGGTATCAGCTTTCTACTTCCTCTTTGCAGCAACGAAGGGAAAAAGTTAATTCTGCATTTATTGATTTGTCTTTTTCCGAATACCTGAACCAATGCAAAAAGATACAAAAGGAAAAAAAGCCCATGTTTATTTTCCAATCCTCGGCGATTCTCATTTTAATGTGGGAAAAATGTGTGTATGTGTGTGTATTTTTCTTTAAGAGTGTCTTCACTGGGTTTTCCTTTTGATATATTTTTGGGCCTTTCTACCCATTTGTTTGGTATCAGATATGTTTTACCACATGATTCATTGCTTTTAGTTAGTAAAATTGTAGTGGTTAGCGAACAATCGTGCGAGAAGACTATGCCTAAAGATACTCCTGCATCCACATTCTGTGGATATAGGGACAAAAGTAACTGTTTTGACATGTGAAGAGATTAAATATTATGTAACAGTTTTTTCCCATTTTTTCACTGCGGCATTGCCTAGGGTGAATCCTCTTTTGGGAGTCTGGGAGAAGGAGGTATTTAGGAAGTGCGAATATGTTTGCTGAAAGAAAGGCCTTAGAATGAACTATATATACATACATATATGGTACATGCTAGACCAAGGGTCCATCTTTTCGAGAGGTGGGACCTTCCTTTCTTGATTTCTCGTATAAAATTTGACCTTTTTTCTTGATCTTCGATGTGCAGTATTACAGGCCATTTTTTCACATTTTTGTTTTTTGAGTTCTGTGCATCTAATCTGGCACAACTTCTTGAGCACGGAAGACGCACAGGTCTTGTTGTTTCTATTTTTCCATTCCTTTTGTTCGTTAAAGCCAGGACTTATAGCTTACGATTAGGGAGGACATTTCTATGTTTTTTTCTCTGCACTAGACACGCTGTAATGAGGCCAGCGTTAGTGCAGGTGCAAAAAAGAACGTGTGGAATTTAATAAATGTTTTTAAACGCATCATGATACTATTTTATGTGGAATGCCGAAGGGCTATTTTTTTTACGTTGTTTAGGGTGTATTCACTTTTCCCACACTACAAGGCAAAGAACGTGCATAGTCCTAGTCTGAAGACTGCAGAAGGAAAGCACACACACATTTTTAACGTGCCTTTGCTTGTATGAAGGGAGAAAAGTAATCTACACACGACATTGTGCGTTTCGAAAGGTTCTCCTACATGGAGAAAGGGAAGTTAGAGTGCGGGAGATAGCGTGACAGCAGAAGCCAGTGCAAAAAACAAAACCCAAGTATCCTTATGTGTATTCCACTCAGAAGTGTTTTAGGTTGGTGTATCTGGCGCAAATGAGAGAGCTTATCGACAGGAGTATAATCGTTTAATAATCATATGTATATATATATATATATACATGATATGATTATTATTATTGTTGTTGTTATCGTTAATAACTGGCCTTGGCATAAAGGAATAAAGAGCTTGTTAATATTTTTATCGATACATTTTTTTTTGTATGTTATGCATCTTATTTCATGTAGTGTAGGTCTTTGTGATAGCCTTCTCTTATTTTTTTGTCCATTTTTGTCAGCTATTCTACAGACTTCTACTCATCATGTTATCATCCCACATTAAAGGCTGGAGGGCCTTCAAGGCACGAGTGAATATATATTTATGTAGTATTCCGAAAAAAATTGTGGGGAAAATATCTGTGTTAATTCTTCCCTGCGGCAAATTTTATTGCAATGAATGATAAAAACACGGAAATTTCATCAATGCGTATGCCAGATGGGTTTCATTGTGGAAGTTTTTTCCCTTGACAGAGCGGGAATTCATTATTTCCAGGTTCAATTCATCCCTTTTTCTCTATGCTCTTCTTGGGGTATCCGTGCGCATCTTCAATAGAGTACATCGGCGTATAAATATTAAAGCGGCTACAAATAGGAAAAACACCGCCCAAAATATTAGAAGGCGTATCTCTATTCGCTAATGAATTGCGCGGCACTACGCCGACAGCAGCGGGGCTCCAAAAAGGCTGCCACGTCTCAGAGCAGCAGCGACGCCCCCGTTCCTGTCGTCTTCCGAGTGCATCAGGATAACTTCTCGAAGGTGAGCTTTTTGTTCTGCCCGAAGAATTTCTCCCTACCTTGCCCCTCCCTTGCGACCGCCACGTCGGGCGCCTTTCGCGGCTCCGCTCAGCCGACGCCACGCGGTGGCCCTGCAGGGCCCTCCACCCCCTCCCGCGCCGCCCGGGAGCTCTACGGCGGCGATGGCGAGGGGCAGTTTGTGGAGGCCATCATCGAGCTGAGGCCGTCCTTCGACGACGCCGCGAGGCCCATCTCGAAGGGTTCAGGCCGGCTCTCCCGCGGTCCTTTTGAGGATCCGCACGCACCCAACGGCGAGCCCGGCGCGGTCCCCCCTGCGGAGGCTGACCACCCCGGCGAACACGCGGATTTCACCGCACGACGAAACCCCCCTCCCGTCGTGGGAGGGGGGGTCGCGGGCGGGGGGAGCGGCGAGGCCGACGTCGCGCCGCGTAACGGAGAGGGCGCGGAGGCGGGGATGGCGGTGGCCGGCCCTTTCGCCCGACTCCACCCCTCCGGTGGCTGGATTTGCCGCGCGATGGCCTTCAACGAGAAGGAGATGGCGCACGCGAATGGCGGGATCAGCATCAACCGCTCCCTCACTCAGCGCTGCGCGCTCATAAACGAGGTCGCGAAGGGGAAGGCCATGGCGCGGGTTATCCCTTCGTATGAGCAGGTCGTCCAGCGCTTTGGGCTCTCCCACGTGGAGCTGTCCTTTGAGCACCAGTTCCTGTCGCGCTCGGATTTCTTCCTCGTGACAGGGGCCCTGCAGGGGCGCATCCTGTACGACCACGAGGAGCTGCACCTCTGCGGCTTTCGTCTCCGCGTGAACGAGCTTCTCCAGAGCGTTCCGCCAGA